GAACCCAGCATTCATTCCTGCCTGTGGCAGGGGGTCAGGCTAGATGATCTGGTCAGGTCCCTCCTGACCCTAGCTACTATGAAACTATGACCCCAGCCAGGTGCGTGTCTAGCCTCCTCTTAAAGACCCCCAAGGTAGGGGGGAGCACCATCTCCCTTTGCAGCCCATTCCAGCATATGGTAACCCTTACCACAGAGACCTTCCTGATGTCTAACCTAAATCTGTTTTCCATCAGTTTGTGGCTGTTGTTCCAGGTTACTCCAAGGGGTGCCCTGGTAAACAGAGCGTCTCCTATTCCTTGCTGCCCCCACCCCCCGATGAATTTGTAGGCGGCCACAAGATCACCTTTCAGCCTTTCTTCTGGAGGCTGAAGAGCTCCAGGGCCCTCAATCTCTCCTCGTAGGGCTTTGTTGCAGGCCCCTAACCATATGAGTGGCCCTCCTCTGAACCCTCTTGAGGTTGTCCACATCCCTCTTGAAGTACAGCGCCCAAAACTGGATGCAGTACTCCAACTGTGGCCTGGCCAGCGCCACATAGAGGGGAAGTATTCCCTGGACCTGTTTGTCATGCACCTGCTAATGCATGATAAAGTGAGGTTAGCTTTACTGATCACTTCATCACGCTAACAACTCATGTTCATCTTGGTGTCAACAATGACTCCGAGATCCCTTTCTGCTACAGTGCTGCTGAGAAGGTCATCCCCCAGCCTGTGAGTGTGCTGGTGACTCCTTCTCCCCAGGTGCAGCACTCTGAACTTGTCCTTGTTGAACTGCATCCTATTCTGTTCTGCCCACATTTCCAACCTGTCCAGATCCACCTGGATTTGTTCCCTACCCTAGTGTGTTAACTTTACCCCATAATTTGGTATCATCTGCAAATTTGGACAGAGTGCTTTCCACGCCCTCATCCAAATCATGATGAAGACATTGAAGAGCATAGGTCCAAGGACTGAACCTTGTGGGACTCCACTGCCCACCTCTTTTCAGGTCGATACCGACCCATCCACCACCGCTCTTTGGGTGCAACCCATAAGCCAATATACCTGACTATGTAATCATCTACATCACAGCCACTCAGTTTATCTATGAGAATAGGATGAGATACCATATTGAAGGCCTTCTTAAAATCCAAGTAAATGACATCTACCTCGACTCCTGAGTCTAAGCAGTTTGTGACCTTGTTGTAAAAAAAGAAACAAGGTCAGTCTACCTGCATTGAATCCATGCTGGTTGTCTTTCAGCATTGTTTTTCCTGCTGGACTCCCACAAATGTGATCCTTAATAATTTTTTCAAAGGTCTTTCCGAGGATAGAGGTGAGACTAACCAGTCTGTAGTTACCCACATCCTCCTTCCGCCCCTTCTTGAAAATAGGGACCACATTGGCCCTTTTCCAGTCCTCTGGGACCTGACCTGAGCACCACGAGCACTCAAACATCCATGCCAGTGGCTCTGCTATGACGCTGGCTAGTTATTTCAACACACTTGGATGAAGATAATCCAGGTCCGCTGACTGAAACACATCCAGCCCTTCCAAGTGTCCCTTCACTAAGTCAGTGCTAATGGTTGGTGGGCTGGTGTCCTCTTTGTGCCTGTCTGTGATCCAGTTGGGAGATTATTCCTAAACACAGATCAGGACAAGAGAAGCAATAATGGTTTAATCAAGACTAATCCTGCCTTGAGTTAGATTAGACAACCTTTAGAGGTCCTTTCCAGACCTACTCTCCTATGATCATCCTCACTGTCACTGAATGTAATTGCTACAGTCAGCCTCTTTTGCATAATTCAGCTCTCCCAATTTTTACATTTCAGGTGAACGGGCGCTTGGTGAAGCTTCCACATGTTTCCAAATACTTTTCCATAAGTCTGTCCCAGGATGCTGTCGTTATCAGCAATAAATCCAGCCTGGATGTTCTCTTCCACCCTGGCAAAGAAGTGACTGTGAAAGTCAGCAGCATTCTGGCTAACCAGCTGTGCGCTCCTTGTGGGAACTACAATGGGAACAGTGCGGATGACCTGAGACTCCCCAGTGGAGCAGTTGCAAAGAGTCTTTCAGGAGTTCTTGAAGCTTGGGAGGCAACTGACCTCTAGAAGGGTGTAGCTTCTATGACTGCTGTCATGCAGCTGTCTCACACATCTGTCTGCCTTTTCCCGATTCCATCACAGCCCAGGCCAAAAAAGTATCTTTTCACAACAAAACATGCCATTTCAGAGGTATCCCAGCTGTTTTTCTCATTTTCTAATGTTCCGTCTCTTTCCAATATTGTCCACAGCAAACGTTCAAGAATAACAAGTCCGGCTTCCAAAAAACTCACATAAATGACTTGGAAAGGATAAGATTTAAAAAAGAAAAAACATGATATACATAATATATACTTTATACCAAGCGTATATTACACTATATACAAATATATATGTATTATATATATATATTTACCATCTGGTTTCAGAGTCTTTGAGGTTTATGTTTTCCAGCATCTTCAACAGTGATGGGGAACAGAAACTTATTTGTAATCAGTGCTAAAGTTCTCCCATGCCCCATGCTGTTAGGACATCTGGATTTATGAAAAAGCACCAAATAGCAGAAAACTCATGACTGTATCATCAAAGCTGGGGACACTTGTCTCTTATCTGTATGCAACTTGGGTACTCTTCTGATTGGAGGAAGTGAACTGGAGGAAGTGAGCCTATCTGTACTACTATTTGAGCTGTGTTATCAACTGTCAGTGGTAGGAGCATTTACTGTATGCTAAGTATGGTATGAATGAAACATTCAGAATTTCATAGAGTCATAGAGAATGAGGGATGGAAGGGATCTCAGGAGGTCGCATCTAGTCCAGTCCTCTGCTCCAAGCAGGACCAGCCCCAACTACATCATCCCAGGCAAAGCGTTTTCTATCTGGGTCTTCAAAACCTCCAAGGATGGAGATGCCACCCCCTCTCTGGGTGACCTGTTCCAGTGCTTTACCACCCTCTAAGGGAGAAAGTTTTTCTTAATATCTAATCTCAACCTCCCTTGCTGCAGCTGATGCCCATTGCTCCTTGTTCTGTCATCTGCCCCCACTGAGAACAGCCCAGCTCCATCCTCTTTGCACCCCCCTGCAGGGAGTTGAAGGCTGCTATCAAATTCCCTCTCAGTCTTCTCTTCTGCAGACTAAATAAACCCGGTTCCCTCAGCCTCTCCTCACCAGTCATGTCCCCCAGCCCCATCACCATTTTCATTGCCCTCCACTGGACTCTCTCCAATTGTCCACATCCTTTCTGCAGTGGGGGATGTGGCATATGCCATCACAGTGTCTTCCCAAACTCTGCTATCAGGCTATTGTTTTCTCAGCTATCACTCTAGTTGCTAAGCAGCCCTCTAGCCTACATGTGAGACAGGTATCAGGGTGGGGAGTTAAACCCCTACTGTCTTAGGAAGGACCTCATGACTAGGAGGGGGGTTGGAGCCCCTACCAGTCTACCCAGCAACCGGTGATGCATTTCCAATTGATTGGCTTGTAGCCAACTTCAGCTAGTCTCCACTGGACCCCAAAGTCCATAAGGTCTACATAAGGTCATAAGGTCTATATCATTTAAAGGCTGCCCAGGAGGGGTGACAGCCATGATGAAGACACAGAGAGGAGCTGGACTTCTGCAGCACTCTCTCTCTCTCAAAACACATGGACATGCTACCAACTGCTTGCCTCCAGGGAACAGCTCTATCGGCCTCTGGATGATACTTGTGAGTAAGCTACTTGAGATCTAACTGGGTATATAGCTTGCAGTAACACAGATGCATGATCAAAGGCTACCATGCCACTCTTTGCTCTACCAGTTATTCTTTGATATTGCTGTATCTTGTATCCTACCCCAAGCCTTCCTTCTGTACTAATAAAGTTCTCTGAGCATAGCGTGGGAAACTTATTGGGAGAGGGACTGAGTTATGCCTTGGTGCTCCCTTGGTCCAGCTGACTAAGGGAGGCTACTATTTGGACTTCTGGCTAAAGGAAGCACCCCAAGCTTTTGCAAAGGGCTGAGCACCCTCCAGGTCTATAAAGCCTGCGTACCTCGAGAGAAACAGAGCCACTAACAGACCAAGACTCTTGAGTGGTGCCCAGCCACCCTGTTTGCTCTACGGTATTTCTCTGATATTGCTGTATCCTGTTCCCTACTCCAAACCTACTCCTCGTAATCAATAAAGTTATCCTCTGTCCTTAGCATGGGAGACTTATTGGGAGAGGGTCTAGATTATGCCTTGGGGTCCCCTTGGTTCGGCTGACTAAGGGAGACCACTACTTGTGCTTCCGACTGAGGGAAGCACCCCAAGTTCTTGCAGTGAGTCAAGTACCCTCAAGGACTGCTAGGCCTGTGTTTACCAGGGGGCACAGGACCAAGAACAACCCAGACCCTGTGTGGTGGCAGTGTTATCCCCAGACTTATCCCGGGAAGGGGCTCGGCTGGACGTGAGGCACCCCCAGGGAGGCACTCAGAGCCTGGAAGGTGGTCAGGCGCAGTGAGGTGGATGGCGCAGCATAGAAGCACCGCGCACTGGCCTGCATAGGGGACCCTATTCAGCTTCTTGTCCACTGTAACCCACAGGTCTTTCTCTGCAAAGCTGTTGACTGGCCAGTCAGTCCCCAGCCAGTAGCGGTGCATGGGATTGTTCCGTCCTAAGCGCAGGACCTTGCACCTGTCCTTGTTGAACCTCATGAGATACATGGTGGGATTATACCAGTGCGGTGTGAGCAGAAGCATTGGGGCAAAACCAAATAGAGGGAAATCAGTCTTGGGAGACTTGTCTAGTGGAGTACAAGGGGGTATTATATGAATATGAGGGAGGGGTATTACAGCAGGAGGGGGAGCAACAGCTCAGTGCCTCGGCAGGATGGAGGCAAGGAGTCCACAAGGCTGATAACATAGGCGATGCATGGGAGGTACACGTGCCCCCCTTAAGAGCAAGCACTCTCGGCTTAGGCAACAGGCGGGGAGGCAGGCGGACTGCTGGCACTTCCCGGCTCAGTGTCCGGCCACGGGGAACCTTCCCCCACCGCCCACCACCAGCACTGCTGTGGCCACCTGCGGACGGTCCCTGTTCAGCCTGCCCTCACCGCTGACACCTGCATTGCCACCTGTGGGCAGTCACCATGTCCCCCCGGCCTCAGGAGGCACGCATCACCTATGGCTGATAGGGATATGGGGGCGCGGAGCACAGCTGCGTGAGGGGGTGACCCTTTGCCCTCTCCAGGTGCTACGCACGGGTTAATCCAGGGGTGGGTAAAATATCTAGGGGTCCTGCTCCAGACCCCGCATGTGGAGTTCAAGCTGCAGCCCCCAACCCCTTCCACCCCCTTTGGCTGCCCAGTGTGATGATGAGCAGCCCCCTGCAGGTGACCACGTACAATATAGAAGAGCAAGACTGTCCTGAGCTATCACACAACCACCTCTATATGGGCTCCATGTCAGCTCTATGTAGCTCTATGTGGGCTACTCAAAAAAAAAAATCAGGACATTTCTTTTTTTAAATTAAATTAAAATGCATGATAGTAGAGGTTTGATTTTTAGTAGACGAGCTGTCTTTTCGCTATCATTTTTTAAATGAGATCTTCTGGATCAGAGCTAATTATCTGGGCCCATGGGAGGCATGCAGGGAGGTTTGGCTCTGTCAGCACCCCTCCCTGTCTGCACCAGGTGGCTGGGATGGGTTCATGGTCTAGCCCAGTGGTGGCTGTGGGGCAGACAGGCCGGAGTACCCGGGCAGCAGGGCTGGGTCTGGTAGCCAGAAGGAGCCACAGCCGGGTCTTTGGGGAACTGTATATGCCCAGGTGGGGGTGAGGGAGTTGGCGGCAGGGACTACAACTTCCGCAATTGAATTCCATTTGTACGGGGGGGCTTTTGGGGTGAAATCCCATGCTCTGCTTCAAGATGGAGCAGACCGGAGGGGTCCAAGCACCAGTGAGATCCACAGAAGTCCCAGCTGGGGGTTTGGAGGGAAAGACATGGCTCATTTGTTTTTCATTAGCTTAACGACCTGCCCACAGAGCCTAGGGCAGTGCCTATGCATTGGGGACCATCTCAGGGGCCCCCGGCACTCAGGGACCCTCCAACGTGGCATAAATGTCCTGGCTCTGGCCCCACAGTTCCTATCAGCCCAGAGAGAGAGACACACAGGGTGAGTCTCCCCAGTGCAGGGCAGTACAGATGCTAGGGCTGGACATAACCCAGGGGCTGCTTAGATCCCAGGCTCTTGGGGCCCAGATGCAGCCTGCTCTGGGGTGGGGTCACAGCCACCTATAACCCAGGATCTTGGCGGTGCAGGGAGGAGGGCTCTGGGGCAGTACAGCCCCCCCACTCACCTCGTAGCAGGGCTCCGTGTCCGGGTGGAAGGTGTCCCCAGCACCTACGGGGGAGAGTGGTTCAGTATGGGGATGGCTGTCCAGGCTCTCCCCTGTACCCGCCCCCACAAAATTGCCTCCACGATGGTCCTACTCCAGCCCCAGCCCCGAGGTCCCTGACCGCTGTCGTACCCTTCCTGACTGCCTGCCGGCATCTCCCGAGCCAGTACCCGGCCCCGGCCCCGGCACCAGCCAGGAGGAGCAGGGGCCCCACTATGCCCGCGGCTCCAGCGACGCCACCTGCGCTCGGACAGCCCGACCTGGGGGAGACTGAGAGAGGCCGGGGCCAGCTGCAGGGAGCCTGGCACGGCTCGAACCAACGGCACTGATGAGCAGCACCGCCCCCTGCTATGGATCTGGCCCTTGACAGTGATGTTGTGAGACTCGGTGGCCCCCACCTTGTTCTGCACCATGCAGTGATATATCCCAGCATCCTTTGCTTCCATGTCCTTCACGTCCAGCTCCCCCTGGGTCCCCACCTGCTCCATGTGGTCCTTGTACCAGGTGTAGGTGACAGTGTTGGGGAAGCTGCTGTTGAAATGGCAGGTTAAATGCAGGGATTCCCCTTCTCTCAGGTCAACCTGGGACAGGGGCATGATCCAAACCCCCTTGGAGGCATCTGCAAGGGGAAGGGGAGAGAAGACCATATTTAAAGGGGTCTAGAAGCTCTTAGCTTGGTGGCTCTTCTCTACTCAGACCTGGGCCACTGGCTCTTTAAGAGTCCTGTGAGCCGTTCATGGGTGCTCGCCGTGTACCACAACGATGACTTGAGACCTGGGGCCTGGAGGTCTCCGGCATTCGGGGTTCAGCCGGGATGGGGGCCCAGCGCTCACAGTGAACAGGGATGGATTTGTTGGCAGAGACCAGGAGCCCCCAGCCAGGGCCAGGGACCCAGATGCTGCAGGTGTAGACACGTCCATCAGCAACGCCGGGTTCGGTGATGTGCAAATCCTGTTTGGTTCCCAGCAGCCACTTGCCCCCATGGGACCAGACATACCTGGCCACGGGCACCTGGCAGGGACCCACACAGCACAGGGCGAAGGAGTCATGTTCCTGCACCAGGCTCCTCGTCTCCGGGAACAAGATCTCCATGTGCAGCTCCCCTTGTGGGGAGAGGCTGAGAGCGAGGTCAGGGCTGGGTTTTCAAACTGCTCCCTCAGCTCCCAGGCCCACTGCTCTAACCCTGCAACACCACTCCCTACCCAGTGTCCAGGTCCCAGACCCCTTTTGTCTCTCCCGCACAGCCCCCGACCTCCTCCTCCAGCTGGGAGAGAACGCGGGTGTCCGAGCTCCCTGCCTGGGACACCTCCCAGCAGAGCTTGCCTGGGTGCAGGGGCTCCTTCTCCTCAGGGCTACACTCATCTGTGTGTCCATTCACCCGGCAGGGCTGAATTTTGGGGCCGGAAGCAGCTCTGGGGCTGTCCTCATGTCACGGCCCCGGCTAGAGGGGGACATGGGATCTGCTGACCTGCCACATGGAGCCGCACGGTTCCTAGTTCATACTGCTCCACGTTACCATCCATC